AAGGAAATGGTTAGACATTGCACTATAAACCCTATAGGTCAAGAGGCAAGTAGTAAGAGGGAGAGGAAAGGAAAGCAAAATTTGATTCCTCTATTTAATCTTATTGGAACAAAAAAAAAGGGCCAAATAAATTAATGGAAATTTTGCATTTAGTATTGTTTTTTCTAAGCTTTGTATTCACTTGTAAGGCAGTAAGGCTTTTGATAGAGTTCCACATCAGAGGCTATTGAAGAAACTTAAGGCACACCGGAAAATAGGAGGAGAAAATTTTTTCCGGGGTAAAGGCATGGCTGACAAATAGGCAGCAGAGAGTTTGCATAAATGGGGAGAAATCAGAATGGGGGCACGTCACAAGCGGTGTTCCACAGGGGTAAGTGTTGGGCCCGTCGTTGTTCAAAATTTACATAAACGCATAGATGAGGGAATAAATAGCGACAAAAAGAAAATTTGCTGATACACCAAAATAGGGCGGCCAATTCATTCTAATAAGGACACAAGAGCACTCCAGGATGATTTGAATAGACTGATGCAATGGTCGGAGAAGTGGGCAGATGCAGTTTAATACAGACAAATGCAAAGTTCTAATGTTGGACAGGAAAATAACCATGCGACATATTAAACTAAATAATGAGATTTTAAATACTACTGATTACGGAAAGGATTTAGGAGTTCTGGTTAGCAATAATCTAAAACCAAGACAACAGTGCATTAGTGTTCGCAATAAAGCTAACAGAATCCTTGGCTTCATATCTAGAAGTATAAATAATAGAAGTCCTCAGGTTGTTCTTCAACTCTATATATCCTTGGTTAGGCCTCATTTAGATTATGCTGCACAGTTCTGGTCACCGTATTACAAAATGGATATAAATGCACTGGAAAACGTACAGAGGAGGATGACAAAGTTGATCCCATGTATCAGAAATCTTTCCTTTAAGGATAGACTGAGGGCCCTGAATCTGCACTCTCTCGAAAGGCGTAGAATTAGGAGGGATATGATCGAGATGTATAAGTGGAAAACAGGAGTAAATAAGAGGATGTAAACAGCGTGCTGAAAATTTCCATCCAAGACAGGACTCGCAGCACTGGTTTCAAGTTGAAAAAAAATCAGAATCAGGAAGGATATAGGAAGGCACTGATTTGGCAATAGAGTTGTGGATGAATGGAACAAACTCCCGAGTACAGTTATAGAGGCCAAAACGTTGTGTAGTTTTAAAAATAGGTTAGATAAATACATGAGTGGGTGTGGTAGGGTGTGAGTTGGGCTTGTGTAGCTTGTGCTACTAGGTCTGATGCCTTGTTCCTTTCTTAAGTAGAAGTGACCTGACTAAGTGGGTCATTGAGTTAATCCGGGGGGGACATGGACAGGCTTCGCATGGGTCAGTAGGCCTGCTGTAGTGTTCCTTTTTTCTTATGTTCTTACGTTCTTAAATCAGTTTGCAGACACAACATTTTAAGGTCAAATATCTATGAACATTTCTTCTGCACGTATTTTGACTTGGATTTCACAAAACAAAATAAATGCTTGTAGTCCAAAAAATCCAGAGAAGTGTCAGCTGGACACTGATAAGTAAGAAACGGATGCTTTGCATACCACTCAGCGCAAAACCTCAGTCTGTTGGGATCAAATCACGAAACGGGTGGGGTTTGAACCATCGGCAAATGTGTCCTATAACTCACTTGCCAATTTTAGGACCCACTTGCTATGGGTTGATACCCCACCCGTTCCGTGAGTCACTATTATAATTCTTGAGAAGAACAAGATACAGTATATGGGTTGTGCAAGAAAGGTATAAAATACCTACAATATGAAAATTAAGACACATGTGCAACATCTGGATATCTTTATTGTAGACGTTTCACCATCCAGTGGCTTTATCAATACAGATTCTAGGACATAATAGGAAGACAGTAGAACTATATCGGCGTCCTTATCCACTGACGACTATATAACCGCCAGTCTTCTTGCCTTTGCTCCAGATTCTCCTCCACCACGATGCTGTGAACACTTACTCCAAGGCTGAGGGACTGATTACCTCATCTTTTGTATATAGTTCTACTGTCTTCCTATAATGTCCTAGAATCTGTATTGATAAAGCCACTGGATGGTGAAACGTCTACAATAAAGATATCCAGATGTTGCACATGTGTCTTAACTTTCAGTATATGGGTTGCCATGTGTGCGCCCTGCTCACTAATGTTTTTATATCATAACCTTTCTTTTTAGTATATACTGTATAAGCTAAAAATAAAATGATCATGAGAGGAAAAATACTCTTTTTCAGATAATAAAGAACTTAGTGATCTTTACAAGTGTGTGAATTTTACTGCAAATTAAAATCTTTGAATATATTTGCTTGTATTCTGCTAGCCACAGATGCAGTTATATAATACAAGTCTTCAGTTTATTTATCTAAATACTCAAACAGTAACAAGCTGTCATGTTCTAGTACACATGAGACTAGACCAGAAGTAAATGAGAAGAGAATTATTAACACCAGAACATGAGACACTGGAAGTACATTAGATATCTTCTGAGAGATAGGATGAAAATTTAAAATTCTAAAAATCAGATTTAGAAATAAATTAATATTTAGGAGGTCTACATTAAGCAGAGACTGAATTAAATCGTGATTTCCTCCACTGTGCTGCATGACCACTGTAGATACTAAATGGTTATAACTATGACCATAATTTTTAAAGGGGTCAACCGGTAAGCCAGCGGAAGGCCTCGGTCAGTTGACCTAAAGCTCCAACGGTGGGTCATCATCTGACTAAGACCTGAGTCACGAAACACTTTTCCTGTTTCCTGACAAACCTAACCTAACCTAACCTTACCTAATGACCACTATGGATATATATTAATTATAGATGTATCTACCCTCATTCTGAAGTAACCTTCTTCGGTAAGCGACAGATATATTTTTCTTGTATTTTCTTGTTTGAATTACATACTGTAACCTATTGTTTTTGTTGTTATTGATGAAATGTTAAAAAGAGTTCTTATAAATTAATTTTATTCATTTTATAATATGTAAATGCACAAAATTAATAAGAAAATAAACATATTAAAAACTATTAGTGGAAAGGTTTTAAGTCTGAATAAAGTAGGGAAAATTAATGATTTTCTAAAAATCCCGATAAAGCAAAAGACAATCTCCCAAATTCTAAAATAATTCTCCGAGCAATATTCGTACCAATTTACGCTTGAAATAACCATGGATAAAAAGATAAGAGGAAACTGAAAAGCCTTCGCCAGTGAAGGGCTAGTGAAGACGTATCAAGGACAGGTCAACCGTAGCAAGTGGTGCAGAGCGCAAGCTCACCCATATATAAGTGGCGTCCAAGGTTCCCCAGGCACCAGTTGCTACCCAACCCTCCCAACATGAAGTTTGTGAGTGTACTCCTTGGCTTCCTCTCTAGCTCAGTCCGTACAGTGAAACACTTCCCTCCAATGTATTCGTGAACAGTCGGTTATAGTACAGATTATTCTATGTTAAGGGTAATCATTCAGTATTTATAAAGTTTAATCAAACTTTGTTGTAGATGATTAGATCAATTTTACACATCATGATGATAGAATCTTCGTCTTCTATAAATTCAAACACTACAGTAATAAAACTTTGCTGTGTGTGCAACATTTACTGCTACAAGAGGTATATAAAGATAAGTGTATTTAACACTGAACAATGGTGGAACGGAACCCTTATGAAGAAAATATAACGAATGTTAAGAGAACTGTTAAATTTTAGCCAGCAGCCAAGGTTGCCTTCAGTCTGCCGAGTAATTCCTAAGTTACAAGCTGAAATTGTGCGGCATTCCGTTCACCTTAGGATTTTTCTCAATGTTGGCATCCTTTCTCCAAAGAAATATCACGTGTAATTTCTAGTTAAATTTTTATGTAGCTTCCATTCGTCATTAAAAATAGTGTTTTGGATTTCTAACATTTTTTCATTTATTTTTAAAAATATTTATTATTATTATTATTGTTTAACATACTGGTTGTCATCCACCAACGTTGGGTGACCCGAAAAGGAGGAAACGCTTTCATGTAATATAATATTCGTAGTAATATCCTTGTAATATACATAATATCCATTTTCTTGTTCATTAAACAATGTATAATAATCTTTTTCCTGATCATTGAACAAGAAAAAACTATATAATGTATTCATTTTTTCCCCTCGACCTTTCCTTAAAGATCCCTAATTTCTTTCAGTTGATCATCGCTGTTTGGGTCTCTGTGGCTGTCGCTGCACCCGAGCACTTCCTTCCAGAGACCTACGGAGCTCCTGCCTCCTCTTTCAGGGCTGTATCCCTTGACAGCGAGGAAGTGGTGCCCATCTTAAGGGACGAGCGTGTCCAAGATGAAAATGGAAGATACAGCTTTGATGTGGAGACTGGTAATGGCATTATCTTCTCTCAGTCCGGCTCACCTGACGGTCCAGATGGTGCTGTTGTGAGTTCTGGGAAATATTCGTAAGTATTTTTACTCATTAAATCCAAAAAAAATATTAACGAAAAATATGTATGTATAATGCTAAGGAAAGAATACTTGTAATTATAGTCTAGACAGTACTTTTCGTCAGTTGCTTTAAATTCATGCTCTTATGCTTTCCTGTTGGTTATTTACTATTGATATGTAAATTCTCTCACAGGTACCCTGCTGCTGACGGAACACAAGTGGAACTAAAGTTTGTCGCTGACGAAAACGGTTTCCAGCCAGAATCTGACCGGTTGCCTGTGGCTCCTACTTTTCCCCATCCAATTCCTCAGTTTGTACTGGACCAGATCGCTAAGGCTGCTGAGGAGGACGCTGCCCTCGCTGCTGCTGAAGTCAGGGCTTCTGCCTCTTCACTATCTGACAGATACGCAGTCCCTCAGTAACACTCTACGTGATGATCAGTTAAAATTTTTAAATCCTGTAGACCGTAATTTATTTACCTCACATTTACAGCAGATATTGCATAAATGGCTATATTACTTAAATAAAAAAATCTCAT